ATGGGTATTTATTCCCCTGCCTCCCTCCCTGCTGGGTCAACCTGGGTTGACTGTGTACCTTTATGGGAAACTCTTCATATGACCCCCTCTGACCACTGCTCCCTTAAGATTCTCAATTATTCTTTCTTTTCTATTCAGGCCTAGGGACGGTAATGCTGCTGCACCACCCCTTAATCCTGCCCACACCTTTGCAAATAATGCTTTAGCCTACATTCTGCCTAATTACCCCGTTTCAGTGTTCCATCTATTTCCTCTTGGAATCCTGACTGATAAAATACTTGCATACGAACTTTTCCAAACTGCCTCCATTCATTTACTCATTGATTCATTTCCTCACTCAATAAACATTTTTTTTTGATAATTAACTATATGCCAAGCACAGTTCTAAGCACTGATGATAAAGCAGTTAATAACACCTGAAAACCCTGTCCTCTCAGAATTTATATTTGGGCAGGGAAGAGGGAAAAACAAACAAGCAACATATATACTATTATAACAAATAAGCAAAATATTTGATCCCAGATATGATCACTGCTGTGGGGCGAAAGAAGAAAGGGTGTAGCTAGCACGGGTTAGGATTTTTGATAGGGTCGTCAAGGAGGGCTTCATTGAGAAAGCAACATTTTAGCAAAGATCTGAAGGAGAGGAGAATTTATGTCACTTGGCTATTTGGAAAAATACCAGATAAGAGGATCTTTCAGCAGGACCATGCCTAGCCAAATCTATAAATAGTAAGGTGGCCAGTGTGGTTGGAACAAAGTAAGGAGAATGGCAGATGAGGTTGAAGCGATTCAGCCCACAAAAGTGGCTAGTCTACTTACTATGATCTGAACATTAATACTAATGAAGATAAAGTTTTATGGATCATGTGTCCAGGTCACTGAAATCTCTATGCTTATCTCTACTTGATATGTTTGACTCATTTCAACTCTGAGATCATCCTGTCCATAAAGAGAACAAGAGCTTACCCAGTCAGCATTAGGTCAGTCTTGCTTCTCCTTCAACTCTGATGTTGAAATCTAGTTCTGATAAACAGAGTTAGGCCTTGTCCAGTTGTGCACAAGCCCCAGCACTGCAGTCCACATCTAATAACTAGACCACTAGCTTTGGTATCACACGGAGGTCCTGGTCTGATGTCCTTCTTATTACCACAGTTCCTCTAGGACTGGAACTCTGCTTTCACAGGAGTGAGCCCTGACTCTGGCCCCACCCTGGGCCACTGCTTTCTGCGTCCCCTTCCCTGCAGGATCAGACACCAGTGGGCTCCATGGACCTTCTACTACTGCCCCCTGTTGGGTCCTTGCCTGTGCCGGCTCTGATCCTACACAACTGCCTGCTTTCTGAGTTCTTGTCCCCCTCAATTTGACCCATCCCATCACCAACCAGGTTGCCAACTGTTTTTAATCACCCTAAGTTTTAAATTGTTTTACTGCAAGAATTTCAGTTTTATTTGGTGGTAAAAGAATTTTTTAAAGTTGATAAAGTATTAATCAAAGAAACTGGAACAATGACCAGATATTATGTTAGGTATGATAATGGTAGTGTAGTTATGCCTTTAAGAGAGTCCTTATTTAAGACAGTCCTTAGAGCTCATACTGAAAAGTTTGTGGCTGAAAATTATACGATGCCTGAATTTTGCTTTAAAAACATCCAGTGTAGGAGGGGAAGGGGACACAGATAAATCCAAATTGGCCATAAGTCGATAATTACTAAGCTGGGTGACAGGTACGTGGAAATGACTTACACTAGACTCTTTACTTTTATACATTACCATTTTACTTTTACTTTTATACATTAACGTTTAAAAATAAATAGGTGAAGGGATTTGTACATTGGCTAACTAGGTGCAAAAAAATAAGTTAGATAGACCATACCTACAGTAAATTCCAGATCAATCAATATGAGCGACACCAGGGAAGAACCAGAGGAAACTATAGGCAAATATTTACCTGATCTCAAGGTGAAAAATATCCCTTCAAGCATAAAAGGAAAAAAAAAACCATAGAGGAAAAACTTAATTGACATAATAAAATTTAAGAAAGGCTCTACATTAAAAATAAAAATTAAGAAAGCCTCTACGTTAAAAACAAAAAAAAATCCTTTTAATAGGACAGCAACAAACTGGGAAAGATAAGAGGATCTTTTAATATGTTTTAACTAAAACGTATTATATAAGGTAAGCATTATTATACTTGATGTAAAAAGAGCTTTTATGAAATAAGAGAATAACGCCTCAATATAAAAAGTGTCAAAAGACATGAGTGGGAAATTACTTGAAAATACACATATATGGCCAAAAAGATATATTTTAAAACCTCAATCTCAGCCAGGCACAGTGGCTCATGCCTATAATGCCCATACTGTGGGAGGCTAAGAAGAGAGGGTCACTTGAGGCCAGGGTTTCAAGAGCAGCCTGGGCAATATAGCAAGACTCCACCTCCAAATATATATATATATAATATGCCAGGCATTAGCTAAAAATAAAAATAAAAAAATTAGCCGTACCTGCAGTCTCAGCTACTTGAGAGGCTCAGGTGGGAGGATGGCTTGAGTCCAGAAGTTTGAGGCTACAGTCAGCTGTGATCACACCACTGCACTCTAGCCTGTGCAAGAGTGAGACCCCATCTCAAAAACAAAACTAAACTAAAAAAAACACCTCAATCTCAATAAAAATAAGAGCTACCATTTTTGATCCATCAGTTGAGCAAATGTTTGAAAATGATAACACTTGGTGTGGGTAGAGTAGAAAACAGGCACACCATTCATGGTATTAGGGTGGTGACATGATGCCACCTTTCCTGGGAGGAATCTGGCAGTGGGCATCAAAGGACTAAGATAAGAATAGTTAGACTCTTTGACCTGACAATTCTAATTTGGAAATTTATCCTTAGGAAATTAGTAGACAGAAATATATTGATGCTCAGTGATGTTTGTTACAGTGTTATTTACAATAATAACACACTGTAATCTCAGCACTTTGGGAGGCCAAGGAGGGGGAATTGCTTGAGCTCAGGAGTTTGAGACCAGTCTGGGCAATATGGTAGAGCAATATCTCTACTTAAAAAAAAAAAAAATTAACTGGGTGTGGTGGTGCACGACTGTGGTCCCAGCTACTCTTGAGGCTGAGGTGGGAGGATTGCTTGAGACTGGAAGGCGGAGAATGCAGTCAGCCGAGATCACACCATTGCATTCCAACCTGAGCAACAGAGCAAGACCCTGTCTCAAAAAGCAACAATAATAATAACACACTGAAAACAAATGGAAACGTCCACAAATAATGATTTGGTTCATTCATAGCATATGGTATAGCTTATTCACAAGATAGAATACTATATAGCCACAACACACACTACAACTAATGTATATTATACTCAAAATGAAAGCGTGAGTACCTTCCCATATCCTGGAATATTTGTTGAAAACATGATTTCATGGCTACTACATATTCTCTCTAGAATTCACACTTATAGATACTCATAGATTAATACGTATCTCAAAATGTTCCTGGTGGTTGCTGCTGAATAGTAGGGCTCAGCATGCTAATTCTCTTTATCATACTTTTCTGGATTTTACAAAATTTTGACAATGAGCGTATATTGCTTTAAAATCAGAAAAACAGACTAGAAACAATTACAAAATCAGAAAAATGAATGACACTAAAGAAATTTAGACTTGGGGAAGGATGCCAAAAAGGATCTGCCATACCCCGTGTACTGCCTCATGTGATCCGGGATGAATTCAAAGCATGTGGGGACGTGCACGTCCAGGGTTGCATAGTCAATCAGGTAGCAGCCCAGCCCAGCCTCTGACTCCAGGAACTTGTCAGTGCCCGCCCCTCTCAGAGGTGTCTTTGTGGACACATGTGGTACTCAGTGGTTTGACAGATGCAGGCTGATCAAGGAAAGCATCTGGTAAACTGCTATGTTAAAAACCTAACAGATCCTTGTCCAGGTGCGGTGGCTCACATCTGTAATCCCAGCACTTTGGGAAGCTGAGATGGGTGCATCACCTGAGGTCAGGAGATCAAGACCAGCCTGACCAACATGGTGAAACCCCATCTCTACTAAAACTACAAAAAATTAGCCAGGTGTGGTGGCATGTGCCTGTAGTCCCAGCTACTTGGGAGGCTGAGGCAGGAGAATCACTTGAACCCGGGAGGTGGAGGTTACAGTAAGCCAAGACCACGCCATTGCACTCCAGGCTGGGAGACAGAGCGAGACTCCGTCTCAAAAAAACAGCAACAAAAAGAACCTAACAGATCCTGTACTTTCTTCTCAAAAGCTTGACGGATATCATGAGGCAAGTGAAGTACTAGAAGCAAAAGTATACTTTACTGACGTCTACATACATTATTATTAGACCTGACAATGATGCTTTTCACACTCGCTGCATTATTTATAAGCCTACTAGTTATTTACATTTTAAAAAATCCCCCACAGAGCCTCACATAGTACTACGGATGTAATGATGTCTAATAGAGCTTTTTGCTGTTGCTGTTTTTTGCACTTGCTTTTGTTGCTGTTTTTTCTAAAATAAATAAATAAATAAATAAAAACTTAAATTATAATATTTATCATATTAATTGATGTGTATAGTTTTTAAAAATCAAATAGTAATAGAAACAAAATAGCATCCCTTGCGCCTCCCCTCCCTATTGCTCCCTGGTCTTAAACTGTCATAAGAAGTCACGAGAAACCATGTACAAATTGTTAAGCCATTTCTTCTGCAATTTACCTTCCAATTCCTAAGGAATATGCATGTGCTGTTATTTATTTTAGACGTTATCTTTTTCCTCCCTGTCTTGACAGATGTCATCTAGCTCAAGTGCACTTTGCTCTCCCTCCCCCATTCCCCTGGTGTAAGCATACCACAGTCTTTGAGTTCACATTATTATTTGTGTCATGTCGATACTGTTCACATGAGCCAGGAAGAGTACAACTTTTTTCTTAAATTATCATCTCTCAAAAAATAACTTTGTTGTCTGCATACCTGTCTTCCAGTGAGCCAGAAGCCTCCGTATGTCAGCAAATCCACTGGTGCCGTGACTTCCCACTGAGCCTCCTGACTTCCTGTTCTGCACTGGCTTGTCTGCTTCCCGGACCTGCTGCACAACTTGCTCCGAGTCCTATACTTGACCTCCTGCTTTTAGATCCCATGCCTTCCATGCCATTGGTTTACAAGTTTATTTTCCTGGGGTACTTCCTTCAGGAACGTTCAAGGAGAGAGCAAAGAAGGTAAACTTTTGCATGCTTGCATGTCTCTAAGTGTCTTTCAGTTGACTGAAAGTGTGGCAGAATGTAGACTACTAAGGTTGAAAACTATTTCTCATTGAATATGGGGATCATTTTTCTTCAGTTTCCTAGAGCTGCTGCTGAAAGTCAGCTGTCATTCTGACCTCAGTATCCTTATGCATGACCTATCTGCTTCTCTCTGCAAAGCACTGTCTAACAGACACAGAACAGAAACCGTCTATGTCATCTAAAATTTTCCAGGAGCTACCTTAAAATAAAAAGAAACAAGTGGAAGTAGTTGTAATAATATGTTATATTTAGCCCAATATTTAAAAAATTTTAAATATCATTTTGGCCGGGCATGGTGGCTCAGGCCTGTAATCCCAGCACTTTGGGAGGCCGAGGCAGGTGGATCACAACGTCAGGAGTTCAAGACCAGCCTGACTAATATGGTGAAACCCCATCTCTACTAAAAATACAAAAATTAGCCGGGCATAGTGGCGCACGCCTGCAGTCCCAGCTACTCAGGAGGCTGAGGCAGGAGAATCGCTTGAACCGCGGAGGTGGAGGTTGCAGTGAGCCGAGATTGCGCTACTGCACTCCAGCCTGGGCCACAGAGTGAGACTTCATCTCCAAATACATATATAATCATTTCAACATATTTTCAGAATGAAAACTATTAATGAGACATTTTACTATTTTGTTTTCTACTAAGCCCAACAATATTCAGTGTCTACTTTACACTTACAGCACATCTCCATTCAGAGCGGCCGCATCTCCAGTGCTGAACAGTCAGCTATGGCTAATGACCACCGTATTGAACAGCATTAATTTACAAGCTTTCAGGATTTTCTCTTGATCCCAAATATATGAAAATTTCAGGCCAATATATGTCTAGATGTGGGTCCTCTTCATTGTCATGCTGGGCATCTATCGAGCCCTTCCAATCCAGAGACTCATACACTGCACCTCTGACAGGTTTTCTTGAAGACAAAGAACAAACAATAGTGTTAGTAGTACTATTATCACGCCCACTCTTCACATCCTTTTTCTCTGTTCCTCTTTCTGGAACCCTATTCAGTCAGGTATCAGGCCTTCTGGATTGATTATCTGAATTAATTGCACTTTCTCTATTAGCCTTTTCTGTTTTACTTCCTTTTTGTTCTGCTTCCTGGGAAATTTCTTTAATATTGCACTCCAATCCTTATTTGATGTTTTTAGTTCAGCTGCCACAATTTTGTTTGAGGTTTTTCTTCTCTCTTATATTCTAATACCTGTTCTGTTTCATGAATGTAATGCCTTATTTTATTTGTCTGCTGACAGAAATAAAAGATTTTAGAAGTTTTATTCTGGCTGGGTGTGGTATTAAGAAAAGATATTAAAAGTTTTATTCTGGCTGGGCGTAGTGGCTCACACCTGTAATCCCAGCACTTTGGGAGGCCAAGGCAGGTGGATCACCTGAGGTCAGGAGTTTGAGACCAGTCTGGCCAACATGGTGAGACCAGCATGTATTTTCTATTAGTTTTAAATAGAACTAATTTTCTATTAAAAATACAAAAATTAGCTGGGCGTGATGGCGGGCAACTATAATCCCAGCTACTTGGGAGGCTGAGGCATGAGAATCACTTGAACCTGGTAGGCAGAGTTTGCTGTGAGCCAAGATCATGCCACTGCAAACCAGCCTGGGCAACAGAGTGAGACTCGGTCTCAAATAATAATAATAATAATAATAATTTTTAAAAACAAAACTTTTGTTCTGTTCTCTTCATCACTGCTGCTTCCCCTAACTTCTGTTCTCCTGATATTTGTTCATTTGGGTCCGTGTGTAGTGTAGCATCTTTTCTTCAAATAACAGGTGATGCTTAGTGGTCTTTTCCCCTTCCAGAGGGAGAGACTGACAGCTCAGTGGAGTGTCTGGGAAGACAGCCCGGGCTTGTCAGTCTGGGACTTCTCTATAGGATATTCAAGAGGCAAGCCAAATTAGAAAAAAAAAAATTTTTTTTGGAAGACTCCCAAAACCAGAATTTGAGACATTTTTTCTACAGTCTTTCGAGATTTTCCCAGTAGATAACCTCCTGCCTGTGGGTAGCCAGGAGAGTTAGGGGTGGAACAGAAGCCTAACAGCAGAAATAATCAACAAAGGGTTGAAGAAGAGCAGCAAGGATTTTGTTGCTTAGTATGCAGATTTAATTTTAACCCGCCCTCCCTTCCTCCCTTCCCCCTGTCAACCTAAAATAATCAGAAGTCTCAGGCTCCACTTAAAAGAGTTTATTCAAGCGCAAGGGTGAGGGCAGCAGACACCAAAGAATGGTGATCATCACTCCTCGGTGTGGGGAAAGGTGAAGATCATATAGGCAAAAAAACAGGGGTGCTGAACAGAATTGCAACATTTTCTTTCTTGTTTGTTTGGAGACACAGTATTGCTCTGTTGCCCAGGCTGGAGGGCAGTGGCGTGATCTTGGCTCACTGCAATCTCCACCTCCCAGGTTCAAGGGATTCTCAAGCCACAGCCATCCAAGCAGCTGGGATAACAGGCGTGCGCCACCACGCCCGCCTGGCTAATTTTTTGTATTTTTAGTAGAGATGGAGTTTTGCCCTGTTGGCCAGTCAGGTCTAGAACTTCTGGCCTCAAGTGACCTGCCTGCCTTGGCCTCCCAAAGGGCTGGGATTACAATTGTGAGCCATTGTGCCCAGCCAGAATTACAACATTTTTTTCATTTTTTAATAAAGGATATAAAACACACACACACGAGTTGGCTGGCCACCATTGACTATACTCTTAAGAGTTACTCAACATTCATTGCAAAGAGGTAAGGGTCTCTATCTCCAATGTCATTTAGTTGAGGTTTGAATGAAGAATAGGAAGCGTGATTAATTCTCAACACAAAGCTCAGAAGCAAAGGTCATGTACCAGAGAAGAAAAATAGCATGTATGTGACTCAGTTTCCATGGCTTAACTGTTTCTGCTGGCATAACCAATACAGAAGGTCCTCAAACTTTCTTTTCTTTTCACACCTTTTCTCTCTTCCTCCTTTCTTTCCTTTCTTCTTCCCCACCTCTCTCTCTCTCTCTCTCTCTCTCTCTCTCTCCCTCTCCCCCTCTCCCTCTCCCTCCCTCTCCCTTTCTCTTTCTCTTTCTGTCTCTCTCTTTAGCGCAAAGCCTCTCCTCTCACCTTTGTCTGGGGTCCAGGTCCGGAGCCTCTACCCTTCCATGGTCTACATAAACCTACAGTCTCTGGCCTGGGGCAAGAGGCGTGGCAATTTCTTGATTTCGTGTGTTGGGGGAGGGATCCAGGCAGCAGCCTCTCCGGTGCCAGGACCTTGTCTCACTTGGTCTGCAGGCCGGCCTCTCTCCAATCGACTCAATTACCTCTGCTCCACCGCTTCTTCCCTCCAAAATTATCTGTCAAATCCCCTTGTCTGTTGATATTTCCTTTCCTGTTCTCTTTATCGTTGGAGATATAGCGTATTTTTAAATTCTGTTCCTTTAATTTTAGTGAGGTCTCAAAAGGAAGAGTTGAAAATGGCCACTCTTTCTACTAGAATGGAAAGTCCTCCATTCCAGACTTGTATACATCATCTGCTCCTGATTTTTGGCTAGAAAAAGTAATAATTATATTATCCATTATTAAAGATGTGTCTACATGATTCCAATATAATTTGCAAACAGTCCATGGTTATATTCAGTACTGTTATATGTAAAAATGTTTATTTAGAAATAGAATGCTTATTCCCCAGTGCCACAAAGAAATAGCACTCGAACATAAATTTAATTCTCCCAGCAAGGCCATTTTTACTTTCTGCAGAAAGAGTGCTTATGGCAGATGGAACAATGGCGAGAGGACACCTGAACAATGGAGGGAAGCAATTTTTATCCCTCACGCAGTTTGTCCCTGCTACTGTATCCTGTCTCCATTGGCTGGAGCCAGACCTCACAATCTAAACTAAAACCCGATTGGCTAACAGTTTAAAACTTTTCTAAACAGGTAAAGGCAATAGAAAAACAAAGCAAAAAAATGCACGGCGGTAGCTTAATCCGCAGGAGAGGGGGGTCACGAGTCAGGAGATCAGAACTGGCTAAACGGTAACCCGTTCTACAAAAGTACAAAAATAGTAAGTATAGATCCTCAAAACTAAGGATGAGTAATAAGCATGTCCCAAAGTGAATGCTAAAAAAAAAAAAAAAAAAAAAAAAAGGAGGCAAAAGGACTTACAAATAAAGAAAAGGACCATAAGAACTGGCGAGCTGAGACATGCCTGTGAGCACGTCTAGCACAGATACCCTGGTTAAAGTGCAAGCACGTAGAATGTACTACGTGCCTGTGAGCATGTATAGCATAAAGTTAGTCTTTAAAAGAAACTATTAATTCTAACACTTAGGATTTTTTCTTTAACAAGAAGGGAAACTTTGAAGAGGAACTTTTTATTTTCTATAAGTGCAATACACCCAAATCAATACAATATGAAATGTTTTATTTAAGCATATCTAATTAAGAAGTATTTGTACATTGCATCTATTTTTGAAAGATAAAATATGAACAATAGTAAGAATACTAATATGACTGATTGTTTTCCTTGTGACTACTAACACAACTGCTAACACAATTCGATTGGTTGATGAGAATCTTTTTGGGAAAATTTCTCCAACATTTAAAAAATAAAAATGAAAACTTGGTAGTCAGCAGTTTCTTTCTGGGAAATTTATTGTCTATGTTTAAAAATTATAAACTAAAACTTTTAGCTTTGTCTTATGTAAAATTAAATATTTTTATTTAATTAATTTATTTAATTTTTATTTAATAATTAAATAATGTTTATGTACTTGTCAGGATTCTTCAGGAAACGGAGGATACACTTTTCTGGGATTTAGAAGAGAATCTCATGAAGGGCCTATTTCCAGCGGTGTGGACCGGGCTAAAGGAACCAACAAGGGATGTCGAGGGACCCAGGTGCCAGCCAGAGTGGCCTGAGACAGCAAGGGTGAGAAAGCACTGGAGCTGTCATCTTCCTGGGACTCAGTCCTTGACAGGGCGGGAGGGCGTAGAGGTAGAAATAACCTGGCAACTCCCTCTTTTTGCTCTCTGGGCTTCACCTGCTGACGAAATCCAACCAAAAGCAAGAGAAGGACATCAGTGCAGCTGGCCTGCGTGGGTCAACCCCTGAGGCTGGCAGCTATAGAAGGACAGAGAAAGAGCAGAGCAGGGGAGGAAAAGGAACAGAACCAGCTGCCTCACAATACAAAATTGTTGGTGTGGGCTTAATTTGGAGAGAATCGAAAAGCTATTTGGTAACCAACCACTGGACTTGGGATAATGGTATCTCCCATTCCAACTGTTCTCTAAGTTTTCCATTCAGTATTTTCTTTAGGTTTATAAATTCTGTGTACCAAGGACTACTTGGTGGTTCTGCTTGCAAAGAACCTATATTTGCACATTTAGGAATTTCTAAACAGAGATGGAGATTAGAGTCTCTTCACAACTGAAGTAAAACAGAAATGTTCATGTTTTTCTTTAAACACTTTCTAGTGTTAGCAAGTTAATTTAAAATGTAAGTGAAAATCCATTCTCAAATCAATGGTAGCCATTTAATTTTGCTGACTTCTTGTGCTTCAGATTTGAAGTTTAGTGATCTCTCAGTAAAATCTTAAATGTTGATTTTCTTTTACGACCTATGAAAGATGATACTTTCAGCAAAGTCTTAAGCATGCAAATAAAAGTTCATTTTACTATTATTTTTTGTTTGGATTTCATTGAGCTATTTTGGGGTTAATCTTTTGGCCCTCACACATGCAGATCTCCTTCGAGTTCAATGGGTGTTATGTGCATGGAAGAACTTAAGAACTGGGCCTTTGGTTTATTTCTGTAATACTCACTTGAATTGCCTCTGCTTGGTTTTCAAAAGGTGGCTTCCCGGATTTCTATTCATTTGTGCACTGCACTCTCCCTTTCCCTTTGTAAATTTGGACAATTCATACCCCTACCCTCTCTTTGGTGTCCAGAAGTTCTGGTCTGTGAAGCACTGTTGCTTAGCAACAGGTTAACTGGCTCTTCCTCTCTATGGGGGACTACAAAAAAGCCGGTCAGAACCTCTACAAACTCTCATTTATTGAGGAATACAGATGCAGTTTCTTATGCTGCATTACTGATGGGCCATATGGTGTAAATTCTATCTTTAAACTACAGCAAGATAGAAAATGCATGTTTCAAAATCAAAATTTTAAAAATTCACGCTGGCATACTTGTTTGGCTTGATTTTAAAAAAATCCATTTACTTAAAAAGAGTGCTTTTAATGAAATAAGGTACACATTCCCCCTGAATTAATTAATTAATTAATTTGAGACAGAGTCTTACTCTGTCGCCCAGGCTGGAGTGCAGTGGTGTGATCTGGGCTCACTGCAACCTCTGCCTCCTTGGCTCAAGCTATCCTCCCACCTCAGCCTCTCAAAGAGCTGGGACCACAGGTGCATGCCACCACCCCTGGACAATGTTTTTGTATTTTTGGTAGAGACAGGGTTTCACCATGTTGCCCAGGATCCTCTGGAACTCCTGAGCTCAAGCGGTCCACCTGTGTTGGCCTCCCAAAGTGTTAGGATTATAGGCATGAGCCACCACACTTGGCCTCCCCTTGAATTTAAACCAAAAAAACAAAAACAGACATAAGTTTAAGTTGATTACAGAATCTTTTCCAAAATATCTTCTCTTACTAAAATTTCTTTCATGTAAATATTGTTTGGAATAGAGAGAGGGTGGTGACAAAATAATCTTCCTGTATCTTATATCAAGTTTAAATAGAAAGTGGAAGCCAATTTGGGATTCACAAATACAGTACTATGACACTTGGAGAAATAAAAAACTTTTAGAAAGCATCTTTAGGAAATTCTAAGGTTAAATACCATTGAACTGGGGAACAAATAAAGCTAAGGTAAAATCTGGTATTTTCTCATTCAGTAATAAACAACCACAACATGCAGATTCTTCACCTGCCAAGCAAGCAATTCTAAAAACCCCTCTTGGTAGGAAAGGAGATAAAAAATTATATTGAAGAACACCTGTCTGGGCTCAGTGGCTCACGCCTGTAATCCCAGCACTTTGGGAGGCCGAGGCGGGTGGATCACCTGAGATTGGGAGTTTGAGACCAGCCTGACCAACGTGGAGAAACCCTGTCTCTACTAAAAATACAAAATTAGCTGGGTGTGGTGGTGCATGCCCGTAATCTCAGCTACTTGAGAGGCTGAGGCAGGAGAATCACTTGAATCCAAGAGGCGGAGTTTGCAGTGAGCTGAGATGGCGCCATTGCACTCCAGCCTGGGCAACAAGACCAAAACTCTGTCTCAAACAAATAAACAAACGAAAACACCTGATTACCTATAAACAAAAACAAAACAACTCCTCAAGTTTAAATTTTATAAACTTTTTTTAAGTTTTGGGACTACTTGCTGGCCAGGATGGAGGAGGCACAGCACAGTTCAGTTCTCCCACTCATCAAAACTAAGGACTTTTTTTTTTTTTTTTAAGACAGAGTCTTACTCTGTCGCTCAGGCTGGAGTACAGTGGCGCAATCTCAGTTCACGGCAACCTCTGCCTCCTGGATTCAAGTGATTCTCCTGCCTCAGCCTCCCAAGCAGCTGGGATTACAAGCATGCACCACCACACCCAGCTAACTTTTGTATTTTTGCTAGAGGTGGGGTTTCGCCATGTTGGCCAGGCTGGTCTCGAACTCATGACCTCAGATGATCTACCTACTTCAGCCTCCCAAAGAAAACTAATAATTCTAGGCCAGGCACGGTGGCTCACACCTGTAATCCCAGCACTTTGGGAGGCTGAGGTGGGTGGATCATGAGGTCAGGTGATCAAGACCATCCTGGACAACATGGTGAAACCCCGTCTCTACTGAAAATACAAAAATTAGCCAGCCATGTGGCGTACGCCTGTAGTCCCAGCTACTCAGGAGGCTGAGGCAGGAGAATTGCTTGAACCCAGGAGACGGAGGCTGCAGTGAGCCGAGATCACGCCACTGTACTCCAGCCTGGGTGACAGAGCAAGACTCTGTCTCAAAAAAAAAAAAACAAAAAGAAAACTAAGAATTCTAAACAAAATGAAATGCCAACTCCTTGAGGTCTCTGGAAAGTAAATAATGGCAGGCAAATTGGAAGAAGGAGGGTGACAAAACTTGAAGAAGTCACAAAACAGGCATGTGTTTCCCAGTTTTCTGTACTCCTACCCCTTTCAGGTTTTTTATTTTTATTTTTATTTTTTTGAGACGGAGTCTCTGTCACCCAGGATGGAGTGCAGTGGCACAATCTCGGCTCACTGCAACCTCCACCTCCCAGGTTCAAGCAATTCTCCTGCCTCAGCCTCCCAAGTAGTTGGGATTATAGACACCTGCCACCACGCCTGGCTAATTTTTGTATTGTTAGTAGAGACTGGGTTTCACCATGTTGGCCAGTCTCGAACTCTTGACCTCAAGTGATCTGCCCACCTCAGCCTCCCAAAGTGCTGGGATTACAGGCATGAGCCACCGTGACCAGCCCCTTTCAGCTTTGATATAAAGATAGCCAGCCCCCCAGCAACCCCCTGTCAAGCAACTTCCCAGTTGACATGTGCAGTAAAAACTCCAAGAAGAGCTTGGTCTCTCTGGCCAACAGACCAGGAAAAGGAGCCCCTGTGAACCAAGGAATGCAGGGGGAAATCCCTGTGTTCTTCCTCTCTCTCCCTTTCTCTTTCTTTCCCAGCCCTGCTTTGAGGGAGACCCCAGTCATGCTACCATAAAGAGGCAGATGGGCAACAAAACTCCAAGACGTTTCTGTGAGCCAAGCAGTGTGTGTTGACGCATCCTAGAGAAGAGAGAGCTAGAGGAGGGGAATCCCTAAGTCTGGGTACGGGCTGGCACAAGTCCTGGGCTCAGGCCTAAGCCGCACATGCACAGGCAGACGCAGAGAAGCGAACAGAGTCCTTGAAAATTGAAGAGGTGCCACTGGGACCACCACCACAGAAGGGGAGACAGTTTGTCATCTGAACTTAACTGAGTTGGTTGTCTGCTTACAATCAATCTTCTCCAGGGGATTTTAACAAGCTGCAGACTCTCGGGACTCGGTATTCAAAACATCCAGAATACGATCCAACATTACTAGATGCTCAAGGAACCAGGTAAGTATGACCTATTCACAAGGAAAAAGACAACCAACACATGTCATTCCAAAAATGACTCGGATGTTGGATCATCAGACAACAACTTAAAACAACTTTTATAACTATTCTCTTAAGATGAAAACAAAGGGCCAGGCTCAGTGGCTCATGTCTGTAATCCCATCACTTTGGGAGGCCAAGGCGGGTGGACCACCTGAGGTTGAGTGTTCGAGACTAGCCTGGCCAACATGGTGAAACCCTGTCTCTACTAAAAATATACAAAAAGTAGCTGGGCATGGCGGTGCACATCTGTAATCCCAGCTACTTGGGCGGTTAGGCAGGAGAGTTGCTTGAACCCAGGAGGCAGAGGTTGCAGTGCATAAAGATTGCAGCCTGGGTGACAGAGTGAGACTCCACAAGAAAAAGAGAGAGAGAGAGACAGAGAGAGAGAGAGAGAGAAGTTTTTGATGGAGACACAGAAGCTACGAAAATTACAAATGAGAATTCTAGAACTGAAAAAATTATATTTCTGAAGTTGAAAAATGTAACGGATGGACTTAGTAGCAGAATGGAAATGACAAAAGAAAGAGTCAGTGAATTGAAGACAGATCAGTAGAAATTAAACAGAGGACCCTGAGAAAATGGATTAAACAGAATGAACAGAACTTCAGGAACCTGGGAGACAACACCAGAAAATCACATATATTTGACACTGGAGTCTCAGAGGGAAAAGAGAAATTGGTGCAGACACAAAAAAAGTTTTTAGAAATAATTGCTGAAAACTTCTTAAATTTGACAAACAATAGAAAAACACATTCAAGAAACTCAGCCAAATCTAAACAAGATGCTCAGCATAACATAATCGAACTGCTGAAAATCAAGGATTTAAAGAATCCTGAAAGTAGCCAGAAAGAAACCCAATACATTAGGTATAGGGAACAACAATTCAAATTGCAGATTATCTCAGACATATAACAAAACATCGTGTAGGCCAAGATGCAGTGGAACAATATCTTTAAAGCACTCATAGGAAAGAATCATCCACCCAGAATTCTATACCCAGTGCCAATATTCTTCAGGAATATGGACTTCCTGAAGAATCAGAAAATATGTCCACAAAGTCATTGGAGATCCTCTCTTCAGAAGCTGGGGCCTAATTCCCTTACCCTTGAGTGTGAGCCAGAATGAGTGACTGACTTTTAATGAATAGATCAGAAGTGACATTTCATGATTCTGAAATTTTAGTTACTATGGTGAACACCAGTTGCCTGACAACATGCGACAACATGGTTCAAATTTGAGTTACCAGAATATATTAACTGTAACTGCATGAAGTTCAAACTTTCTGCTAGCTCCCCAGTCCACAAATCACTACATAATAACAAAGGTACATCATGATCAGTGACCAATCATGTCTCTTCTTTCCAAAACCTGTGGGTGATTGGTCACTGTGCGTCTATGTTCAGTTCATGCACAGACAGCGAAGTATGAATTGTGTGGCCTCCTTGTCTCCCAGTGACAAACCCACAGGCATTTTACACAAATGGATATTCAAAAGAGAAAATGGACAAATAAAGATAGAAGCGCAGCAAAGAAACTCAAAACCGAAAACACTGAAAGTGAATGGAAATCAAACATAAACGGGGTCACTGAAGAAACAGACTATGGGATGCTGGCACTGCTGCCGAGAAGGTGAATTCATCCAATAAATGAAGAATGCGGTTGTGATGGAAAGGATGATGTCCCAGAGGAAGGAACGTCAGCAAAAACCTTCATGTTGAACGGACTTGGAGATACTTCATGACATTGAAAGCAGAAAGGATAAAATATTAGAGGCTGATCCAAACTTAGAAGGGGCATGACAGGTTTTTGAAACACAGAAAAGGTGCTCGCTGCATATCATAAGGTACATGACTTTTGAAGAAGGCAAGCACTGTTCAAATGTCTCTTGATGGTTTTTAGGAAGACATCAAACACTTTAATTCCCAGTGTTGCTAATGTTTTAAATTACAGCGTACAAAAATATTTATTGTTTCCTTATACATTTCTAACAGTACAAGATTACCAATGTTTTGACAATTTTCAAAAGACAGGAAAAAATCACAATTTTACCCATTAATGATTATTCACAGCACATGGCACAGTTTCAGGTTGGAAGGTCATTTTTACAGTTCTGACCGCTGTTCAAAGTGAGGACTGTGTTTTATGTTGGGAGCCTCTGTGCTCTGCTACAATTCCCTGAAGAATGTTTCTTTTCTTTCTGTTTTGTGGGGCAGTCAGCCTTGTTAGCCTGAGTCCGCAGGTCCTGCGTTGCCTTCTGTTTGCTAGTGGTGATCCGAGCGTCAGTTCAGAGTGTGGCTGTGTTGCTTGGGCTCTGCCTCTGGTATGTGCAGCTCTGGGATGAGCACAGAATTCTGCTCATGTACAGAATAAGAGAATCCTCTTTTCAGGACTTTGCGCTTCAGGATTTCCCCCCAGACTCCCTGGCACCCAGGGGGCCCCTTTTCCTCATCCTCTGGCTTCGAAGGATGGGCTTTCTCTCTGATGATTACCTGCCCACTTTCCATTTTGCCAAAAGGAATGCCCCTCAGGCAGAAAGCAGAGAAGGGGGAAAAAAAAAAGATGGATTAGTTCTACATTTTTCAGACCATAGGGTCATTTTTTCCTGCTTCCTCTGGCTGGAAAGACAGGTTTTCTCTCAGGGGTTTTTTTTTTTTTTTTTTTTTTTTTTTTTGAGACAGAGTTTCGCTGCTGTTGCCCAGGCTGGAGTGCAATGGTGCAATCTTGGCTCACTGCAACCTCCACCTTCCGCGTTCAAGAGATTCTCCTGCCTCAGCCTCCCGAGTAGCTGGAATTATAGGCATGTGCCACCACGCCCAGCTAATTTTGTGTTTTTAGTAGAGACAGGGTTTCTCCATGTTGGTCAGGCTGGTCTCGAACTCCTGACCTCAGGTGATCCGCCCGCCTTGGCCTCCCAAAGTGTTGGGATTACAGGCGTAAGCCACCGTGCCCGGCCTGACTAGGGTCACCTTTAGGTCAGGACTGAGAGAGAAAAAGTTTAAAAAAGGAAAAAAGCCAGGGATTATAGCCACACTTTCTAGCTTGCAGGGGCCCCATTTACCAGAATGTTTTAAGAAAGTTCCAGACTGTTTTCCCATCAGTGTATGAGGGTTCCAGTTCTACATCCTTCTCAGCAAACAAATTAACCATATTTGGCATAGGATTTCTAGACCTGTAGGTTATGGAAATGTCACAGTACGTTTTGAGGCTGGTAAGGAGTTCTGTGTTTCTCATGAGAATCTTTGTGAGAAGATGTAGATATTGGCTTCATAATAATAAAGTGAATTTGTGGTATTAAATAAATGGAAAATAAAAGGCAAATGGTACAAATTGAGAGTTCTTGAGATGTTTGGACTATGAAGGGATTCATTACCTAAAGAGTGGCTTAAGATTCAGAAGGCATAGCTTTACAGTCTCTTTGTGTTCTAAGGGCAGGGTATCTTCTATCTTCCAGGATAGGGTATAGTTAAGTCTTACCAAATATGCAATAAACTTGTTGTTTAGGGATATTCAGCATTCCTTTTCCCTTCCTAAAGGTACTCAGGTTTCTTTCTCAGAAATTGTTTATATTCATCCCTGAGAGGTCTGAGAAAAAATAAAAAAAAAATTGTGTCTACTTTTGATGAGATTTGTCAATCCAGGAACCTGTCTCCCCATATTAAATTCAAAGGAACTATATACTGCTTTCACTGCTGGGCTGGGGACTCTTAGTACCTAAGTTTGGTCCATTCTACTCTTTTTTATGACTTCGAATCTTGAGCAAATGACTACAGTAAGATTGGGGTTCATTCATGTCATCAACAACACCCCAGCTGTATTGTTAAAAGTACCTGTCATTATTAGTTCCCACCCAGTCTTATTCCTGGTTCTCCAAACTTTCACAATTTTTTTTTTTTTTTTTTTTTTTTGAGACAGGGCCTCACTCTGTTGCCCAGGCTGGAGTGCAAGTGGCATGATCTGGGCTCACTCCAACCTCTACCTCCTTGGCTCAAGTAGTCTTCCCACCTCAGCCTCCTGAGCAGATGGGACTACAGGTGCACACCAGATCTAATTTTTGGATTTTTTGTAGACAATGGGTTTTATGTTGCCTCAAGAAAAATAACGTCAGGGTAATATTAAGTCTTTTATCAGTGACATGTAACTGATTTTAAAATGTTACATAGTGCTTCCTAGTTTAACCAAACTGGAGGCATGTTTTATATGATGGGCTGATGTCTCATGAATAACTGTGCCAAAATCCTCATTTCTGAGTGCACTGATGCAGTAGCTGTCTCAGGTCCCTTAGCTCCCAGATTGGGCCAACTCTCCTTATACCACACCCGGGACCCGGGAGGAATGGGGAAGTGGGCACAGCTTTCCCAGACTCTCGTTCCACCCTGAGGATAAAGTATTGCAGTAACTTTCTTCCTGCCTTCCAGACGCACTTGCATTCTTTCTGGAGCTCTAGTCAACCCTGACCTCTTCCTTTGTCATCAGCAAGGTCACAGGCCTGAGCTGCAAGTCTTAGCTGTTTCCAGAAGGGTCACTGTGTGCTCCCACCTATATCTGAGGTCCTAGACTCCTCAGAGGAAGTCAGCTTCATGTGATCTAGGCTACTCAAGCCTGGGGCTGGGGCGTTTTCATATCCTGGTATGAGAGACTTGCTTCCTCTGGAAAGATCTTTATGGTTTACACAAATGCACAGACCGCTTAATAATAGTCTCTAAAATGTATACCTTAAAATGGCTTTGTACTTATGGAAATTCCTAATTAAAAAAAAAAACAACTCATTTGATTTATATCACATTGTAAAATATAGTTTACTTCAAAATATGATCCTGAAGATTCCATCAGGCAGTGTTTAAGGGATGACTATAAAGTTTTAGCCCTTAACAGAGTATACTCAACTGGGTACTGTCTTTCAAAGCAGTCCCTGTCAGTGTTTGTCCATTGATTCCATAGCAGCTCCCACTGCCCACCCTGCTTGAGAAGCCTCTTTGGAAGTTGCCTAGAGTCTATAGCACTCATCTGAAGGCCCTCCATGAGAACAACTCTTCTTTCTCTCTTCCACATAGATACTTTTGCATCAGCCCAAAGCTATTTGGACACAAGTGTGGTGAACACGGTAAGAAAAAAACAAACGAAGCAACAAAAACAAAAAGCAGGCAGTGCTGCATTAGACTGAAAGTGAAAGCTGGAAACTCTAAGCACCTATGAACCGCCAGGGCAGTGTTGGTTGCTTTCATCCACATGGTCTCCTTTGGTGTTCTGATGCTTGTGAGGCAGTATCCCTATTGACAATGACCCTAGCTTGGAGGGCTGAGAATTGCTGAAAGTGATGCTGTTTATAAATGGTAGAGTCAGGACCCACACATGGGTGTGGTCTGCCTGCAAAGTACATGTGGAATTTGGAGATGGGATTACCATCCCCGCTATAAAGGGCAATATGATCTGTGGCCAAGAGGGTTGTACAGGGTACTTAGTTACACAGATCACACTGATCTCCTTCTCCTCTTTCTTTTTTCTATGCAAGTATATAATCTATTTGTCTATATGTCTGTCTACCTTGGTAGATTGGGCTCCTTGAAGAAGGGATTACATTTTCTTCATCTCCATATCCCCAGTAACTTGCCAATGCCCAGTATACACCAGGGACTCAGTCGCTGTTTGTCTTATTTTCTTGTTCACTCTACTCTGACCTAGGACATGTCACTTTCTCCTCTTGACCTTCACATTCAGATGTGTTAATAGAAGTGGATAAAGATCACTCTAGCTTTAAAACACCCTCCAATATAGACAGAACTCTGAAACCAGAAGCAGAAGCTGAGGAATGGTGAATAGAGCATTTTCCTTCACACAGTGGGCATTAGGGTGGTATCCTGTCCCTTGAATGCCTCTGCAGAATTTGACCCTAGTTTTTCAAACTGGACTCAAGAATGATCTTAGTGTTGGTGGTTTTGTGGTTTTCCTCGAGACTTTGTTATTGACAGAACAGCTTCTGGAAATCTGAAAAGAAAAAAAACAGGCAGTTTACGTATTAGTTTGGAATATGAAATGTATTTTGTCATGGTCTCCAGAGTCTGAATATGGATCTCCGTGGAGCTCTCCTATACTCTGCTACTGCTAACTCATACTACTAGAGAGAGAGCAGAGCCTGAAGATCAAAACACTTCTCAACTGCTGACACACTGCTGCAGTGTGGTCAGTTACTGATCTACCATTTATGAAGCAGGCCTACAGATGTGTGTGTTCTTCTGGGTAATTAAAATTGATAATTAATTAACAGGGCTGGTGCTAGGTAAACGTTATAGGTTAGAATCCCAAGTGTGGATTAATTTGCTCTCTTCACAGACTCCCTGCTTAGCTCCAGCCTGCTGGTCTCCCAACATATGCTAACGATTACATGGGCAGGATCAAGGTCTCTTATTACCTTGTTTGAAAAACTGGAAACTCATCTGTTATTGCTGGTGGTTAGACACCTCCCCTAAGTAAAATATTAATTAAAGATATTAGGCTGGGCGCGGTAGCTCATGCCTGTAATCCCAGCACTTTGGGAGGCAGCGGCAAGTGGATCACTTGAGGTCAGGAGCTCAAGACTGGCCTGGCCCACATAGTGAAACCCCCTCTCTACTAAAAATACAAAACTTAGCCAGGTGTGATGGTGTGCACCTGTAATCCCAGCTACTCTACAGGCTGAGGCAGGAGATCACTTGAACCTGGGAGAGGGAGGTTGCAGTGAGCTGAGATCACACCACTGTACTCCAGCCTGGGCAACAGAGCAAGACTCCATTTTGGGGGGCAAAAAATAAATAAAATAAATATAAAATAAAAAAAGAAAAAGTCCCCAATTATTAGTTGTCATATTGTGACCCCCAAGAAGACATAACTTTTTATTAAATTTTAAACATAGATGTTTATTTTTACCTCAACATTTAAGCAATTTAACTTCAAACAACCCCCGAATTTGAGCTGAGAATGCAGAGTATATAAGCGTTTGTCAGCTAAGTATTTTGCCTGCCATCAATAGTTACTCAACAAAAAAAGTGTTTTTTTTTTAAAAAAAAAGAACACACAGCTAAATAGGGCAACTAAGAATTGAGTTTTATGTGTTATGATACAATAATGAATTTTAAACTTTCCAAAAGTACAATAACTGGTCTATGTTCTCGAGTATAAGTCTAGACAAATACAGTTTCTGGAAATAACTACAAAAGTCAACATTTATTGAGCATTTGTTGTGTGGTAGGCACACAGATTATCTGATTTAATCCTTAAAACAACCTGGGAGGTTAAGTACTATTAATATGTTGATTTTACAGATGATAAAATTCAAGGTTCAAACAGGGTAAATATTTTTGCAACGGCACAGACTTATCAAAAGACAGATGCTGGGGGCCTGACTCCAGAACCTTAGAACTCTACAATGTAATAAGGTGAAAATAAATTTATTTCCAGAATTTCAGATACTGGCACTAGCATTTTTTTTTTTGAGATGGACTCTCGCTCTGTTGCCAGGCTGGAGTGCAGTGGCGTGATCACTACAACCTCCGTCTCCCGGGTTCAAGCGATTCTCCTGCCTCAGCCTCCCGAGTAGCTGGGACTACAGGTGTGCGCCACCATGCTCAGCTGATTTTTGTGTTTTTAGTAGAGGTGGGGTTTCACCATGTTGGCTAGGATGGTCTCGATCTC